GTGATTCTACCGAAGACAACAGGGAAAAGCACTTCCCCTGTGTTCTGTCTAACTCTGCCCTCCCCAATGCTCTCCAGAGTTGTTACAGCCATGATATATCCAAGATCCTTGGTGGCCTTCTTCCGAGCAAATTCGTCCAAAAGGCGTACCACTATAGCCTTTTGGAGCATCAGGCCTTTGGCATCCAAGCTGTCAGCAGGAATTATGATATTCCATGGCAACTGCACCTTGAGAAACATTTCGCAACTGCAATCAAAAGGGAAATATAAAAAAAAAAAAAAAAAGGTAATTTGCAATGAAACCAATGTCCTTGGAGTAAGAAGAAACAGTATATCAATCTTGAAGAACTCAAAAATGAACTTAGTCCTACCCCAATATCAAGTATGCTAAAGCCAAATTTCATCAATCCAAACAGAAAAGATTGAAAAAGATTAGTTTTTAACTAATTGAAAATTTACCAGATTGTAATGAAATATAACCCTACAATGCCCATTTCGCATGATCATTAATGCTCAATTCGACGAATATGAATAGCAGCAAATCCAGAATCAAACAACAATAACAACAACAAACTAAATTTTAAATCTCATAACTCTGAGTCAACTGCATGAAAGGCAAATAAAAAAAATAATGTCAGGTCATAGTACCAAAGGAAAATTATGGCATTTCCTTCAAGAACAATAAAGAAAACTCAATAAATTGAAATAACCAGTCATTTCAAAAATGATAAAAGAAGAAAATCCCCTTCAAAAACTTTTCTATGATCTTATTCAGTACAAACCGGTCAAACAAAATTTTATTGAAAATCATATCTTTTAAACTACAAATGAATACTAGTTTAAACCAACCAAAATTAATAGAACAAAAGTTTCACTCACTAATCATGCTACAAAAGTTTATAACCAAAAAAAATTTCTTGACCAAAAAGATTCAGACAAGACAGAACCGAAAACAAAACCAAAATTCCATGTCAAGACAATCTTAATTTCCAAGAAATTTGATCAAAGCAAATGTTCAAAAACAATTAAGAAAAACCGTCATTAATAATCAAATTTCCCTTCTAAAAATAATGACCAAACATGCCATAAAGACCCATACAAGCAAAACCCATTACGAATCTTTGTAAATATAAAAATCAGTACTATATTTTCAACCAAACAAAACCATGAAAACTACAAAGTAAAGCATCAGAATCATTGACAAAAAGACAAATAAGACTTATTTTTAATATATTTAATGTATATACAAGTAAATGATAAAATTAGTGTTTAATATATTTATAATTTTATCTAACTTAATTGAGTTTATTTAGACAAACTCAAATGACACAATTAAATTACGAACCGTATTAAAACACAAAAATAAAATTTAATCAAATTTGAATCAAATTTTGAACCTTTAATTTTTGAGTCTAACCAAATTAAATCTGATAATTCATCAACTAGATCCGACTGAAATTACATTCTACAATATTAGTAGTTATATTGCTATGCCTTTTTATTTTTCTTCTTGTGTCCAACAGATTATCGTATGTGAATATATACTCCAAATACAAGAAAAAAATGAATATTACAAAAACATTAAAAATATTCTTTAATACCAACTGAAAAAAATTACATTTTTTAAGAATCATAAATTATGCTGGTATTTTTTCTTAATATATAATACATAAAGACTTAATTAAATGGACGGTATTCTAATTTTATGGATAAGTTCAACTTGCTAATTAGTATCATTATAACACTTGTTTTTTCCAGTGAAAATATATGAATCACGTTTGGTAGAGCCATCATTGCCCCATGAACCATTGGAATATATGTATGGTCGTTATCCTTCCCATCTGCATTTTCAAGTTTCGTTTTTCATATTTGGCACTTGCTAATTAAAATTCAAAGTAATTTTTTTTGGGGGGGTACAAGCATGAGGGAAGAAAGGGAAAGAGTGTGGGGTTGTAAACCTGGTTCACCCCTTCGTCCATCATAAGAGAGACACAATAACCACTAATTTATATTTTAAAAATCAATATGAATTTTAAAGTTATAATTTCATTTTAATTATCAACTAATTTGATTCTAAGATATTAAATAAAATATTATAAGAATCAAAACTCCATATAAGAATCTTATATGCAATAAATTCAATTTTAATTTTTTCACTTCATATATTATCTCAATTTAGCTTACAAATTAATGAATATATTTATCAAATAATAAATAAAAATATATATTTTATCAATTTTTCAATTTTTCTTATCAAACACATATTAAAAAAATAACATATTTACATATTTTTAATGTTTTCACTTTTCTCCGCTTAAATTTTTTATCCATTGGTTAAATCAACATAGATATTTTTTGTACTAAAAAATCTATAATGAAAAAAGATTTTTCATTTAAAGTTAAAATAGATCACATCAAAGATAACTTATATTGGATTTATGTTGAATAACATTAAGATTAGCTACGTAGAATTTTGCTAGCTCAACACTCAATAAATCTTTATGGTAAGGTTGCACTTTGTTTTGGCTTTTCCATTAGTAACAATTACTTATGTATCTTTCCTCATTTATTGAAACTGATAATAATTTACATGTCATAAAATCAATTATAAATTATATTATTGTTATAATTTATAAAATTCTTACCAATATTATTATCAAATTATGTCATACAATTCATACTATATATTTTCGTACCTAGTTGCTATTGTTGTTTTTATTGATACCATAAAATATAATAATTTATTTTATTATAAAAAAACTCTTTATTTAAGGTCAATTATTTTTAAATTGGATGCCTTATAAAAATTTCTTTATTTTATGCTTTTACACTTTTATTTTAGATGCTTAATTTAATTTATGTAACATGATTTTTTTAATTCATCAATTTAAATTTTTAATATAAATTTTTATTTAATATTTTTAATAAAAAAATCATAAATTTTACTTACACAAGTTTATCTAAAACCTCATTTAAAATGAGTTGGTATCACTATTTAATGTCTTTAAGCACTTTTTGATACAATTGCACTGTGCTTTACCGTTTGGATCACGAAGGCACAATCTAATTATGTTTACATGGCTTCAATGGAAAACTTAAACTCAATTGATGGGAGAAAGGTGTGGTGGTGATTGACATTTTTGCTTTTTTTTAATTAATAAATTATTATATAATTTTTTAATTTAATATAACGAAAAAGTTTATTATATAATGAGCTTATAAATAAATAAAATTATTTTTATATTATGAATTAAAATGATTATTTTATAAATTTTATTATTATATAAAAAATTAATAACTAAATATAATATTATAAACTAAAAATAAAATTTCGTATTATATTATATTATTATTTTAACTAAAAATAGATAACTACATCATTAATAAAAAAATTAAAGAAAAAAATCATTTGATATATTATTATTTTTATTAGTGTTTAATTATTTATCAATAAAATTATTATTTGATATAAAATAATTTTATGAATTTTCAATTATTTATTAATTTTATAAATATTAAATATTTTAAAATTTTTATTACATGCAAACTTTAATTTAATATCCTTAATAATTATTTCTTTTCTAATTATAATTCAACTTTTACCATTTATTTGCATCGAACTAAATGTATTCACAATTGATTTTAATCTAGTAGATATTGTGTCCAATCTTACTACTATTTTTAATCTCACCTAAATCAATCTTATTATCCATTTAAATTGATGCTAAATCATCCTCATTGCATTAGAAATGTCAATTTTATTCAAATTTAATGAAAAATCTAATTTTTTATTTGAATAAAAAATAAATTAAAAATGAAATTGAACATGTATAATTTTAAAACTTCACTTATAAAATTTCATTTAATTCATTTAAGTCTTTTAATTGCACCGCAATGTTGATGATTCTTGCGTATCTTTTTTACTTATAATTTAATTGGTACCATAAACATATTAGAAATGGATGGCAAAAGGATTCGAATAAGACTTCATATTTGATAAAAGATTTGCTTGAACCAAATAAAATGAATAAAAATTTACACATATTTTAGAATTATTATTTTATAATTGACTTAACTATTAATTTATGGTTTATAGCATTGGTATCTTCATTAATAATTGAATTATTATTTTATATAGATATATGTAGAGACCATAGAGTTTTAAAATTTTCATTAATTTTTAAAAATATATTATTATAAAATACATGTTAATTTTTAATTTTTTATAAAATTAAAAAAATTTACATTTAGATAATTTTTAATTTGTTAATTTCTCTATATTTGTACTTATTTTTTTAATTATGACCTAATGATATGTAGTAATCTTATTAATTCATTTATCAAGTTTAAAATTTGATTGATGTATCATATAATTTTAGTTTAAATTAATTATCATGAAATTTTTTTAACCTCTACTTTTGATTAAAATAAGTGCTAGTTAAGTAAACTAAAATCATCTTTTATTTACTTTATAAAATAAAAATAAAAATATCAATAATCAGTATCTTTGAGAAAATTTAAAATTTGGTTCAATTAATTTATACTATCATAATAAATTTGATATTTATTTATAATTTTTTTCACTAGACGTGGATGTTTCATAGTGACTGAAATACTCTAGTATTTTGCATACATACCTGACCATGCCAGCCAATGTAATTTACAACAATTAACAAACAATATTAATGATTAGGACTTAACAAGAGAATGTATGCCGCGCTGGACTACTCGCTTACCTTTTGATTATCAACAACAATTTAACGGTTCATGTTCCTCCATGTTTGAAAAACTGCAAAAGTTTATACAGAGTTAGGCTTGAAGGAAACCAACTTCACAGGAAATATATTAAAGCTTTGGTGTGTATCCGATTGTATTATATTGCATTAAAGTAACAAACAGAATTTATGGTGAATTTCTCCAAAGTGGGGACAATGCCATAATCTAAACAAGGCCACAAAATCTCCATAACAACATTTTTGGGACAGACACACCTGAGTTGAAATGTACAACTTCAGTTACAGGAACTACGATCTCTATTCAAATCATCTTGCAGGAGAGATTCCCCAAGGAATTGGTGCATTGACATTGATGTTCCGTTTTTTGCTAAGTGGTACCAGATTTCAAGCATAATCCACCCGAGATTGGAGTTCTTTCAAATCTACCAGCATCTTAACTTTGGCACAAACAATTTAAGCGGGACGATTCGTATAACTTGGAGAGTGCTCAAGTTATTCAATTTGATTTGAGCAAAAACAACTTGAGAAACAGCATTCCATTTTCAATAGCTCATATGTGGTCTTTCAAATTCTAGATTTAAGTCATAATTTAATTATTGGAGCGATACCACAACAGCTTCGAAAATTACAAATCTTAGAAATATGGGATCATTCTCACAATATGCTTAACGGTTCTATCCCAATTTCTTTCAATGATTTGTAAAGCTTGATGGTTGTAAATATCTTTTGCAATCAATTGGAAGGCCCGATTCTTGACATTAAGGCATTTCATGAGGCTTCAGTTGATGCCTCAAGAAACAATAAGGGCCTATGTGGTAATGCCATAGGATTAGTGCCTTGTGTTCCTATCCTAGCAACAAAAAGGGTCATAGAAAAAGAACCAGGTTCATCATTTTAATTGTGATTCCATTCTTTGGTATTTTGCTTTTGCTATTTATCATGGCTGGAAGTTTCCTTATTCTTTGCCAAAAGAATCGCACCAGAAATCTGAGTCAGGCGAGGCACAACTTGGAGATATTTTCACAGTATGGGGATATGATGGAAGAATACTCTATGAGAACATTATTGAAGTCACTGAAGATTTCAACTCCAATTATTGTATTGGTTCAGGAGGAGATGGAAATGTTTATAAAGCTGTGCTACCCATTGGTCAGGTGGTTGCTGTGAACAAACTTCACCAATCTGAAGATAGCATGATTTCCAACTACTTGAAAGTCTTTGAAAGCGAGATTCATGCTTTATCAGAAATAAGGCATCGTAACATTGTGAAGTTGTATGGCTTTTGTTCATATCCAAAGAATTCATTTTTGGTTTATGAGTTTGTAGAAAGAGGAAGTTTGAAAATGGTGTTAAGCAACAAGGACGAGGTAATGGAATTGGATTGGAAGAAGAGGCTAAATGTTGTAAAAGGAGTAGCCAATGCCTTATATGCATCACGAGCATTCATCATCTATAATTCATTGAGACATTTCCAGCAATAATATTTTCTTGGATTTGGACTATGAGGCTTATGTCTCAGATTTTGGCACAGTTAAGCTTTAAAGCCCGACTCCTCAAATTGGACCACATTTGCAGGCTCTTTTAGATACATTGCTCCAGGTATCATTTCTGTACTACTATATGTTAATTTCGAATATTGACAAGTGGTTTAATTCTTAATTTGAAGTAAGTTTACATAATATAATATATTTCAACATATAAAAGTCTTAATAATAAAAATTTAATACTCATTTATTTCTAGTAATAATATTTCGTTTTATCAAAGATTAGTATTTTTGAATCCGGATAATTTAGTTGATTAATGTAACTATTTTAAGTGGTGGCAACAGTATCTATTATCCCTTATCTTATCTTTAGGTTGTGGCTTCTTTTGTAAAAATAATAATATTCTATTCAAACTCTTTGAGTTTCATGTAAATCGTTAATTTTGGTTGAAATTGAAAATGCACGCTATGGTTGTTTTTTTTCTCTCTCTCTTTCTTTTTCTAACCATAAAACTTAGGATATTGGATACTAACAGTATGTGAATATTATAATATTCTAACCTTTATACTTCTTAATTATTTCTAGCATGTTTTTTGTGCCTAAATAAATTATAATTATTAGATTGAGGTTTTTTCTGGCAGAGTTAGCCTATACAATGAAAATAGAAGAAAGATGTGATGTTTACAAGTTTAGTGTGCTATGAATGGAAATACTTATGATGAGGCATCCTAGTGATTTGATTTCGTGTTTGTTGTCATCATTGGCATCAACACCAACATCGATGCCAAATGACAGCCAATAAATTTTACTTAAAGATGTGATAAACCAACGTCTCTCACCACCAGTAAAGCAAGTTGCAAAGGATATTGTCTCTACTACAAAGATAACATTTGCATGCCAAAATGGCAATCCTCAACTTCGACCAACTATGCAGTAGGTTGCGCATGCCCTTGGCCGTCAATCACTTCCATTGATTGGGGGAACTGTGGGATCATGGGTCTGCAGTGGCTAATATTAAGGTGCTAGCAATTTGAATAATAATTCTAGGCACGTGTATTTGTATTTGCTTTCAATCTATTTCTTTTTCTCTGCTTTGTATTGAAAATGTTTAAGTACTCTAATAATAAAGCTTTTGTAGTGAATTAGCTGTGATATAGAACAGTTGTGCTTAAGCACTCAATTTGTATTTCAGGATTTCCTATTTATAAAATATAACTAATGACTATACGTAAAATTTTTACTTTCAGTATCAATTATAATATTCTACAATAGTACGGATTTGCTACAATACTTTTGAAAGCGAATGCTACAGCCATTCTAATATCACTTATTTATTTATTTGAACAAACAAAAAATACGATTGGTGAGTATACCAAATTACAATAAATACTATTTCACACAATAACCTTTTGATTTTACTATTTACTCATCATTTATTCTTATACACACTTATATTATTTCTCATAATTTCATCTTTCTAACTTTTCTTCATTGCTTGACTTTTAAATCATTCAAAATTTAATTGTAATCATATTAAGTACTTCATACCAAAAAAAATTGTATTAAGTACACTTGAAATGGATTTGAGTGATGATTTAAGTATATACCTTTAACTTGTCCGTTTTTTTCTACTAGTATGCTAAAAAAATGTTGTACTTTTCTCAAATTTGAAATAAACTTTTATCTTTATTTTTTTATCCAATTGAAAACATAAAACATTATTCTTATTTAATTAAATCTTATTTTGCATAAAAATCACTAAAATTGTTATTTTTACCACATCAATGTAATAATTGTCTTTATTACATCAATGTCCGCATTGCAAAATATAAAAATTTAAGGTAAAAATTATTTTTGTTAAATTAATACCCAATTGCAAAATATAAAAATTTAAGTTGATTTATTGTTTTTGTGGTATATATATGTAACAAATGGCTAATATAGTAGGCCTCATTAGCATTTAAAGAGCTTTTTTATTTTCAAATATGTATGCTATGTAGATGTTGGCTTCATGGAAAGAGCTATAACATATTTGTTGATTCGGCAAGAAACTTTTTTTTTTTTGCAATTTTCATCTAGAAAAAGAGCTTAATGGAACAAAACTATACTTTAAAGATTTAATTAGACAAAATAATTTTTTAAGGACTTAATTGGATATAATAGAAGGATGGAAGCTTATATGAAAAATTCAAGACTTATCATCACAAAATATCTTTCATTTTTAATATTTAATTATAGCCGGGGTTTATCTGTAATTAAATTTAACCCAAAACTTTCAATAATAATATATAGCCAATAAAATACAAAACATAAGTATTAACAAAAAAACAAAACATTTTTTCCCAAACTAAAATTTTGAGTTGAATTTAGTCCAACATGTTTTCAAATTTATCCTAGTCACATTTTGACAATCATTCTGTGAGACTAAACCATTAAATCTCAATAAATTTCTATAATTATTTTATTTCTTTTTCTCTGTTTTTCCTTTTTTTTTAATAATATGGTAAAGAGAATTCCTGTTTTGTTTATTTGGAGAAACAATCGACTTTGAACAAAATTAATTATAAAAAATGGCTAATTTCACCTATAATTTTTAATGCAATTTTGTAATTAGCCACTTAAAACAAATAACTATGTGAGAGTCCATTACTTAAAAGTGTGGGCTCTACATATATTTTTTATGAACTTTATACAATGCTGAATTATAATTAATTATTATACTACAGTAATTGTAGACTATATGCTCTCACAAAAACTATACATATTTTAGGATTACTATGGTAATTTTAATTTTATAAATTATTTTTAAAGTTTTTATTCATTTATATATTTGGAGTTATTATTTTATACAAACACAAGTAGGGGTTTATTAAAAAGCTCATTGATTTGATTTAGCATAATTAATCAATTTGTTAATTTTTTGTCCATAGCTTAGAGATTGGAGAGGAATGTGGGGTTCAATCTCCACCTTAATTCTTTCTAAACTTTTCATCATAGAACCAATAAAAATAATCTTCTCTATAATTAGATAAGTTAATTCCATTAAGTTATTTTATCCTTAATTATGAATATGTGGATAAACTGAAAATCTTGTAACCTATTTGGGGAGTTTATAGCTTTCACTTATATATTGGATATTATTTATTTTAACAATAATTTCCATGAATTTTTTTTCCACAAAAGAACCTAATTTGCACCCAAAATTTTATTTAACCATAAATACATATACCTCACTAAAAATGAAACTCATATCACCATTTTCTATATTAAAAAATCCAAAAAGAAAAAAAAAAACACAATTCGCTCAAAAACATTGAAATCATCATCCAACCAATACAATTAATTTCATCATTAACAAGAATAGAAAAAAAATAAAGTATTGCTTCGTGGCCACAGGTGAAGCCAGAATTTATTTCTTTTCAACATGTGTTCAATAATCTTCTCAATATTCTTACATAATAGTGTATTGATTAGATATATTTCTTGCTAATAAAGCACATTGATTAAATATAAATGTTTTTTAAACATAATTGACTTATATAATAAAGATAAATGAGAATTGCGATGTCTATAGTTTCTGGGGTTCTAACAATTGCAATGAAAGTTTCTTATGGGGAGAAATCCTGGTGATCTTCTTTCGTGTTTGTCATCATTTGTGCCGGCATTGGCATCGACGTGGGAATTGTTGGTCATGGAGTTTGTGGCTAATTAGTTGCTAATAATTTGGATTATAATTCTAGGTACGTGTATAATTTCCTTTTCGTATCTCCTTTCTTGTTTTTGTATTCAAATGTTTAAGCACTCTAATATATATATATATATACACACACACACACATAAATATATTTTTTAATTTAGTGACACCTTATTAATAAATAAAATTAAAATTAGTTAAATCCTTAAAAATAAATTACTTTTTATATATATAAAATCGCTGGGTTAAAGAAAAGCAAATCACTCAAATATAGTACATGGAGAGAATTTAATCAGAAATTAACATAAAAAGAAAGAGATATTAGAGAAGTTTTTTTGAGTTTAAAGTTCACAGTATTGCTGAATAGTAATATTGTGGTTTGAAAACTTTTGGTTAAAAGCTTCTTCTTCCATTTGTATCAATTATTTTCTATTTTTTTTTATTTTTTTGAATTGGAGGTAGGTCAGTGATTTTAATGTGACTTTTTGACAAATATATATATGTATTTATTATTAGCTAAATGTTCATGTTCAAAAGTTTTGTTTTCTTGAAATTATATATTAAAATTGTGTAATAATCCTAAATAAAGGAATTGTGTAAATTAACACCAACAATAAACCTACTGTATTCAAATACTGAAAATTTTAGTTTTAGCAGAGAAATGTTGAAATTTCCTTAAGTTTCAAGTAAAATAAGGTTAATATTTATGATTCCAATAAAAATAAATATTTATGATTTCATTTAGGTAAACATAAGATGACTGAACCGACACAAGTATGAGAAACAACAGGACTTGGAATGATATTAAGAAAAAAGACATCATTTGAATAGTTCAAAGGAATATTTTGTTAATTATTATGTATAAATTACATTAACTAGCATGAACGGTCAAGTATTTATTCGCTCCTTTCCAGTTAATTTCCACGAAGACTAATAAATATGTAATTGTGGTACACGCACGAGTCAACTCATGACCGCAAGTTATAAAGTGGTGAAACATGTCGACATTGATTAAGTACAAATTGTTGGGATTTGCCTTGAATCTCATAATCTCACATCGAAAGTTAGTGAGTTTTGAATTTGTCCTAGTATCCTACATCGGGAGTTTAGTAAAAGTATAAGGGGTTTCACCCTTATAAATAAGGTATTTTTTTTTTAGTTTGGTAATCCTAGAGAGTTAGACACCAAGAGAATAGCTAAGTGAGTAGGCTATTAAAAGGGTGTAATTGGGTTTTGGGTTAAGTTTTGAGTAAGGAGTTTTAAGGAGACTTTTCTCATTCTAAAAGTCTCACAATTGTAAAG